TTTTTTTTTTTTTTTTAAGTAAGCTACTGTAGGCCCAACGTGGGGTTTGTACTCACAACCCTAAGATCAAGAGTTGCATGCTGTACTCACAGAGCCAGCCAGGTGCCCCTAAAAACAATTTTTATAAGTTTTAAAATCTTAAAGTTAGTGGTATTTATTACTCTTAAAGTATAGGGACATCTGGGTGGTTCAGTCCATTAAGCGTCTGACCTCAGCTCGGGTCATGATTTCATGGTTCATGAGTTCGAGCCCCACATCAGGCTCTCTGCCGCCAGCATAGAGCCTGCTTTGGATCCTCTGTCTCCCTCTCTCTCTGCCCTTTCCCTGCCTGCACACGCACTCTCTCTCTCTCAAAAATATTAAAACATTTAAAAAAAATTATAGTAATGTATGTATTTTAGATTACAGTATAAGTGTTCACGTGTGTGTGTGTGATCAATTCTTTGCTTTCCATAATAATAGAATAATGGTGCAAATAACCTATGAGTCATTTGGCTTTGGAAGATTTTTCAGCAGCTTAGTCTTACACCTTTAGTTAGGACAATATGTTTGCTTGCTAGTTCCTAAGCATCCTACTATATGATACGATCCAGTTCTTTTCATGGTGGTGAGGAAAGAAAACATGTAAATAAATTCCCATAAGCTTTTGTAATTAGTATTCCTGACTGGCCCTTTACCTTTTGTTCTCTCTGTTAGAGAACAAAAGTGACGAAGAAAGCAAGTAGGAATACTGATTCTTCACCAGGAGAACGGTCAGACTCTTTTTTTTCTTTCCCCAGTTCGGTTTAGTTTTTAATATTTGACTTGCTTTATGGATTATCAAACTTCTAAAACCGTGCACTGGAGGCATCCTGGCTTGGGGTGCAGAGTGGAGGTGTCTCAGAGACCCAGGTTGCTTGTACTCGAGCTCCCCACCCATCCTCTGCCTCCCCTTCTTCCTTTGGAGGGCAGGAGACCTGTCATATTCTCATAAAGTTAGACTATAATGTGGCCTTTTCACTGTCTGCTCAATCTCCTCCCCGCCCCTCCTTTTCATGCTTACTAGCTTAGGCAGACAGTGACCTAAAATACTTAATTACACCCTTTTCGGTGGTTCTTGCTCCTCACAAGCCACCACTGTCAGAACTGTCTTCCTAGTTCATCATCCACCCACAGTTGCCCTCCCTGTCACACAGAGGCACAGAGCCCCCCACATGGTCTGCCGGTAGAGCAGTGCCACAGAGAAGTGGAGAGAACTACAAGATAAATCAGGAAAATACCCACATAAAAGAAAGAGATGAGAAATAGAAGAGGGCTGAGAGAGATGGAGTATAGAAGATCCAACTTAAAAGAATATAGGAGGGAAGAGATTTGAAGATTTTTGTGCAGTTTATTAAAGACATAAAGTTGAAGCATGACATACCAGGAGAGCGCATGAAAACAAATCTACTTCTAGACATGTAGTGGAATCACGAAAGGCGAGAAAAGTCAGGGGCACCTGGGTGGCTCGGTGGGTTGGGTGTCCGACTTCAGCTCAAGTCACGATCTCACAGTTCATGGGTTCAAGCCCCACATCGGGCTCTGTGCTGACAGCTCAGCCTGGAGCCTGCTTTGGATTCTGTCTCTCTCTTCTCTCAAAAATAAACATAAAATTTTTTTAATGTTTTAAAAAAAAAGAGAAATATAAAAGCAACCAAAGAGAAA